TGAACTGCAGTCAGAGAGTGTGTAATTGAACTGAGTATTGTCGAAGTCGAGCACGTGAGACGTTCGTTCAGAATTATAGCGCGACTGTTGAAATTAAGTGTATCGCAAAGCTATATTCAGAAAGAATAAACCAGTTTTAAGAAAGGACTTGTGTCACTAAAGTTTCGTCGGAACGAATTTACGGAAAATTAACTAACGAACGGAGACGTAACAATATATATATACTTTTTGTACTGTCTATTCAATATATATATATATAACCAAATGTTAATAAAGTTTTATTTTCTTGAAGTATTTTCTAGCTTATTTTTTTCTAATAGTGTCATTGGATCTTTGTCTAACTCCTATGAGTTTGCACAGGAATTTCAATGTCCCATTGGTAGCTACATGAACCCCAGCAAAAAATGTGAAGTTTGGTGATATTGGGTAATTATCCTATTTTTTAGCATTTCGGTTATTCTTAGTATACAATATCCTTCGTATTTGTCCAGACTGTAAACGATTATATTCCTCAATAAAAAATTTGAAAAGAACATTTACGTGCCTTTACCCTAACTATAATTAAATTACGGCTTCATTCAAATATATTTTCCCGGAGTAGGGTTGGTGTGAGTTTGCAGACTCCTATTGCTAAGATCTGGAGTTCAGTTTCCCAAAGTGGACAGAGCAAAATACCATACTAAAATTGTATTAAAAAATAAAATACAATCGATGTAGCATGCATTTTAAAGAATTTTCAAGTTCTTATTTTGACGATAAAAATTTAATTTGACGTAAACATAATGACAACTTTAATTGAGTACAGGTGGTATGGCTCTTGTTTTGCTGATGCCTCCATATTACTTAATCTTCCATAACTTGTTACATTATAAGTTTCGATAATATCTATTATCATGAAAAATAGTTTTTTTTGAACCATAACCATATTCAAAATATTTTCTTTGTGTAATCTAAAAATACGTTAGGGTTAATTATATATTAGAAATACTTATTATTTTATGCTTATGTCAACTGATAATTGAATTTTCAACACTAAAATATGAACTTGAAAAAAATCTTTAAAATGCGCATTCGTTTAATTTAATTTTTCTCTTAAATAAATTGTAAATTGAAAGTTTGTTGTTTAGTGCAAAGCCATACAATAGACAATCTGCAGGGATCAAACCCCCAATTTAATTATTAAAAGCCCTCAAATTTATTGCTGAATCACTGAAGGGCATGAAATTGTTAACTTAATTTTTATACTTAATTGTAGTAATGATAATTTTGGAATCTAAAGAATACAAAAAAATTAACTAGAAATTGATTCCCACTGACAAAAAATACTTTTTAATTGTTTATATTTTCAGAATACTTTTTTGATGCAGAACCATATAAAATTACATCTATTCAAGTAAGTATTACTTGGAAAGACTTATCTTACTATGCATGTTAACTTAATTGGAGATTCTGTGGTGTTAATATACTGTAATATTTTCTGCTTCTGTCTTACTTATGTTGTTTACAAATATTCTCAGTGTAATTCATTCTGCACAATTTCTGTAGCAGTTTGTATTTAATTTGTGCAAAAAAAAAAATCAGAACTGTTCATCTAATTCCTGTTCAAGTTCTTTTCTTCGGCAGTTTTTGATATATTACTTAAAGTTGATGGTACTGTGTATTGATTTTCATGATAACTACATTACATTTGTACCATTTAAAGGATAATTAGAATTAGTAATATTGTAACTATGATCAGGCAAAATTACTATTGTGAAATGATGTCAGTCACCTCCAAGTTTACGCAAATTAGCCACCTCATTAGTCATTCATCCCATGCATTTGTTAGATATGGATTACGTGGTGTTCATAGTATTTCAATTTAACATAGAATAGGATCATCATGAAAAAAGGTCACTTTGGCACTTATATTGCATTCTTGAAATCACTGTGTGGACTTAAACTTGATTACGCTCTTGATAGAGGTTTTTAGGGCATCATTATCGTATTGTGTCACTTGATGAAATATGACTGATCACCCAGGAGTATCTCATAGATGCTTCATATGGGCTTGAAGTCCACTGAGCATTAAGGTCACTCCATTTATCAACTGTCTTCTTCTTCTAGTAAAGTATTGACCAGTTTTGCATGTATGGCGGGGTTGGAATTATTTCCCGTTAGGCTGAAGTCAAAGCTAATTGCACCAATGTTTAGTGGCACAGTAGTTTGTGACACGTGGTTTCTATAGTCTGCCACATTAATGATACCATTTCACAGGATATAGAGGTCATACATTCACCTATATTTATTTCTGATCATTTATCATTCCCTGTATGAAAATGGGAATCATTCTGGTTCCAAATAATGTGATATATATTATCTAGCTGCAGGATAAAGTGTGACTCATCTGTGAAGAAACAAAACTATTGCTTCATGTGCTACTGCTCAGCCAGACATTTTATTGGCATCATTGACCCATGCTGTTCTTATGCCTTATTATGAGCCAAATGCACCTTATTGGGCACATGCAGCCCAGCCTTATTAACCTACTACTACCTATTTAATATTGACACATTTGGTTCAATCTCAGTGCCTATATCCTACAGTTCCAGTGAGCCAAGATCATCAAATGCTGATCATACTTGTGCTATAGATGATGGTCTGTCTCGTTCAGGTATCTGAAAAAAACCATACCATTGGTTTATAAGCAGTTGCACATTCTAGCAATGACAATTTCAAAAACTTGGAACCAATTTGCAGTTGGCTGGTTTCTATTTGTTTGATGGTTTTTCCACATGAGTGAAACATCCATATGCCTTCTTTGAGATCTAGTCATTACTCATGAACAATTTGGGGTACTTTAAACCCTATGATTTTTCACATGGTATAATTTGGGGAGAGGGGGGCAAAAGGAGTGGCTGCTTACTTCAACCTCAGGAGGGGAAATGCCAAATAGTAGTTTCATTGAGATATTTCTAGTCAGATCAGATTAATATGTTTATATGCAAATCACACCATAGCATAAACCCCCCAACTGAATTGGGAGGATGAGGCCATGCTAAGATCAGTCTTCTTTGTCCACCCCACAAGCCTTTTGTGAAATGATGCTCCTACATCACAAAGTGACAAGCTGCTAAACAGCATTACGTAAGGCCATCTTGTACTTCAGATCATGACAGGTGTCTTAACTTTCATAACAACTAACTAGGAGGGGTGATTGATATTATTCTGTTGTAGTGGTTTTGTATTAGCTATATAGTAATGTTACAATTTTTTAATATCATTTATGTTAGAAATGTGATATAATTTACTTTAAATACACTGTGAAGAGCTTTTTTTTTTATATAATCTGAGAGCAAGTAGTTACGTTTCGCTTACACAAACAGAAATGTAAACGACTGTGTGCCAACGATTGAATATGGATGAAGTCATATCTCTTATTATTAAGTTTATTTTTTTACAAGTGTAAAGATTTAACTATTGTGATTTATTACTAGTGTGTAATACAACAAAAAATATTCTACTTTTAACCAAGTAAATATTATATAACAATATTCCTCTGTTTCATTCAGAATGTAGAACTTTTCATGTTAGCCTAAAAGGGAAACTGAAGCCTTAAATCTTATATCCAGAAAGACATCGCCTGATATTATGTTTTTGCCAACCTTTAACCTGTAGCCTTCCTGGAAATTACGGATGTCCTGTCATCGATATTCTGACCGAGTTTTCTGTGTTTATTTTTCTTAAGTTATTATCCATTGGAAACGAAATTGTTAAGTAAATGTTGCAATACGAGTATTTTGTTTTGTAATTTTTTACGAATATTACTTACTTTTTAGATTTTATTATAGAAGTTGACGTTTTTCACTTTAATAATCGAGATCTAATAGTGCATGTTAAATAATTTATTTTAGCAATATTAAAATATTGGATATATATATATAAGTATATATTTTATAGATACACGTATATATATATATGTATATTCAGAGAAATGGACTAACTGTTGCTGTTTTCTGTAAATCTTGTACAATGTTATTACACTGGCTTCAGTTAGAATGTGATACGTATCTGTACCTCTGAAATGTTTAAGTTTGAACTTTACAAAAGTTAGCAAATGTTAAACATTTTAGCTTGCAGTACATTCAAGTCCTTTATTTTGGTTTAAGGATTATTATTTTTTAGAGTACTGTTTATAATATAAATTCAACTTAATAGTCTGAATATGTTGTACACAGTGCTGCTATGTATCTAGCTGTGGATTTAAAGACCACAAGAGACCTAAACTTTAAATTAAGACACCCAAAGCCATCCCTTATCATTCAAATATTTTCGTTGACGTCACCTTAATCCACTTTGATTTGCGCGACGCCCCCTACTGCCATATGCAACATTTTTTTTTATAGTTTTTTTTTTTTCAAGTTTTTAATTATTCTTAATTTGGTGAAACTCTCGCGACACACAGTTTGTAAACCACTGTTCCACATTCTTCAGATTAGATTAACATAATCATAGTACACAAACTGACCAACGTGTTTCTCACTTTGTATGTAAAAGATGTTTTATGATTTTATGCCGTTTTTTGTTGTTGTTTTTTAAAATGTTAAATGAACGATTAAAATGAACAGCGCAGGAATGCTGTTTTTAAGGGCACTGATTACTTTATCAAGTTATTTCTGTGCACAAAAGTAACAAGTACTCTTCTCTACGTTAAATCCCTTTCCTTTGATTGCGAGCTTTCAACCCTCTTTGTTGGGGCGTTCATCGGACAACTAGAGTAAAAGCATTTAACGTCTATTTTTAGCCGCGGCTCATAGAATGGTTCTGAGTTTTTCAAGTACAAACTTTTAGCTCATAGCTCCGTCATCTCTTAAGCGATTTGAGATCTAATTTTGGACTCGGGAGGTCAAATCCTTTCGATTGATTGATTTGACCACGCCCAAGGTCTCATAGATTAATTTACTCCAATACTGCCTAAAGGAATTTCATATTTGAGGGTAGGCTGGTGGAGATCCTGATGAGTAATAAAATCGAATCGGGTATACGCGCGCTCCACGCTTGGTATTGCTGGCACACAAAAATGCAGCTAATAAAAGGGGGGGGGGGTCTCATATATTAATTTACTCCTGCCTAAAAGAATTTCAAGTGCTACAGCTATTGAGGATTCCCTCTTGTTTACATATTAATTTACTTATAAGTTTTAGAAAACAATATTTATTTTTGTTATACTATTGACTTTTTTGTTGTGTTTATTTCAGGGTACATTATTGTTTGAAACATTATGACGAAAGCATAATATGTTGACCAAATATACATTATCTGCTTTTTTTACAGTGTTTTTTTTTTGTGTGAAAGCTTTGTACTAGTATGTAAAACAAGTTGTCAGATTTGACTTTTCCGAAAGCTTTAGCTGACCGACAACGCCCACGTGTTCGTTTTCAGTTGTTCTCCGGGTGGCCAGCGGTAAGTTTACGGACTTACAACGCTAAAATCCGGAGTTCGGTTCCCCGCTGTCGACAGCCCAGATAACCCATTGTGTAGGTTTGCGCTAAAACAGACAGTCATTTTCAGTTTTTACTGACAAAATTTATAACGAGAATATAAAAAAAAGGGAATTATTAATAATAAAAAAATTTCGCCATCAAAATTAAAACAATTAACGAAGGCCCTTTTCTTTCTTTTTTAATACGAAACGTTTAACTTGTTGCTTATACAATCACTAATAGAGTTTAATATCCGTATGTGCTTACATAAATCGAAACTATAAATTTATTGACTGCAGTGTTCATTAATATTATTTGTATAAATAAAGTCAAACAGTGTGAATATAGGTATTTTGTGGAGTTCTCTTTTCTACCACAACATTATAAACATTCGAAAAATACGCCCTTCAATTAATCAGTAGTTTAGAAATAAAAATATATTTGAAGTATATACGTTTCATCAGGCATTGTTACGCATCTGTTGGTATCTAGAAATAAACTGATGTCACACATTCGGCTTCATATTATTTGATCACGTGACTTGCAACAGCTGGAATTACTGTAACATATCAACAGGGAGATGGGGGCGTGTAATATATAGATGTATATAAAGTGTAATTTTACACTGTTTGGTGAAAGACTTCAATTTAATTATAGTGTTCAATTAACTTTGTTTCTCATGTGATTTGTTTTTTTAGCTATTATCTGATAGATCATAGCATTGAATTAAGATTATAATAACTTTCTTATGTACGTGCATCCTAAGAAA